AATAATATTCATGATTTCATGAGCTTTTTCTTCGTAACGCAACCTATGCGTTACGACTTTTTTCGGTTGACGAGGGGTCGTAACTAGATTCATGAAATCATGAATCATCCGAATCAAAACCATGAACTATATTCATGGATTTGAAAACTTGATTCATGATTATGGTACGAACCATTTATGATTCCAGGCATTTTGTAAATAGATTCACGAAATCATGAATCATCTTAGTTGAAACCATGAGCTATATTCATGGCTTTGAAAGCATGATTCATGATAATGGTACGGATAATTTATGATTCCAGGCATTTTATAAATCGATTCCCGAAATCATGATTCATCCGAGTCGAAACCATGAATTATTTTCATGAATTTAAAAACTTGATTCATGATTATGGTACAACCCCATTATGATTCAAATATTCCAAGCTACGAATCAAATTATTTGCTTCTTTTAAGATAATGATATTCAATTGGTAGTGTTAGTGATGGTCGTAGCGATTAAAACAGGGTTTTGTGGGTCATTTCGTGTTTTCTTGGTTTATTTCATAAGAGATAATTCAATTTAATCAAAAAAAATAACAAGCATCGTCAATTGTCAAAATCGAACCGTGCCAAAAACGAACGGGTACTGTAAATACTACTATGCGGGAAGCTACTAATTTGGAATGATAGATTACATATTTTAAAAAAAAATACAAAAATTTCTTACCAAATTTTTCAGCAGTTTGCGAAACATGACTCTATCCCGTGCTACTTTGCAGAAGAGTTTTATATCTCCTTCCTGAAGCTCGCTGAACTCTCTGCCATTTTGAATGCCATGGTCATTTATCACAATACTGGCGTAATTGTCCAGGCCAGCCCGATACAGAATAGCTTCAAAATCCAGCTCTGGGCTTCGGGATCTAAGTCTACTCTGTATGTCCTCTCTTCCTCCGTAATTAGGGCTGCCGCTGTTGGCAGTATTGGCCCATCGAGGGCAAGATATTGTACTTGATCCAGTTCCATTATTGTAATAAAATGATTAAACCAGCACCGGACACTGAAACGGATCACACGTTGCTTCTATTCGCTTCCTTTTCCAAATTCACACCCGACCGCAATGGACGCTGAAATTTTATAAGCACGGTTGGACAGACAAGCGCGTACGCGTAACGCTTGCTAACGGCCATGATTTATATTCATGATAGCGATTATTTTTGTTCATGATATTCGTCGCTTGTTTCATGAAAGCATGAATTGTTTTCATGATTTCATGGGATGAATTTTTTTATGGTTTCATGATTTTTTATTCATGAAAATGACAACGGATTTTTTCCCGTGCAGTCATAAACAAGTTACTGTAACTTATTGTGATGAAAGCGTGCTACTCGGGTAGTGTTAGCCCGAGGTACACGACCTCTTTAGACCATTCCACCATTGAGCCGTTTAAGCAAATCTTATTATTCTCAGACCGAACAAGTATGGTAGATTTGGAGTGTGGAAAGATCATGACATGGGTCATAGCCGCGTTGATACGGATCTTCCAGCTGTTGAAATATTCAGATAGGACGTCCAGGCCCCTCTGAAGTTTGGCAGTCAGAGCTACGATGACCCTACCCTTGTAGACGATGGATGTGTCATCTGCGAACAGAGACAACGATCCACCATCAGGGAGAGCCGGCATATAGGAGGTGAACAGGTTGAATAGAATGGGGCCAAGGATGCTTCCTTGTGGAACCCCGGCACCGATGTTGAAAGCATCCGATGTGATGCTATTCAGAGAGACTTGGAACGTCCTGTCCTATATATAGTTGTTTATTATCTTCACTAGGAAGACCGTACACAAGACCGTACTGCTGCAATTTGAACACCAGGCCATCATGCCAGACATTGTCGAACGCTTTTTCAACGTCCAACAACGCCACCCAAGCAACAATTTTTGTTTTATTTAAGTTTTATAGCAGTTGATATAACCAAATTATAAAACCTTCACTGACGACCACATTGCTTTAAAAATCTCCTGAGAACCGCAATACAGCCATGTCATGGCCAATTGGCCCAGTTTTAATGCAGTCATTAAAACTTGATATGCGAACTACTTTAGGAGCATAGGATTTATGTCAGTTTTATCACACTCTAGACGTGATTGTTAAAAATGAAAACATAAAACCTCCTCCAGGTCAGAAAGTTTTAACAGCCTTCTAATGACTACCATAAAACTATATTACAACCGCATAAATCGCTCCTGAAGAAGTTGATAAAACATGATACGCAAAACATTTTGACAACTTTGAAGGTTTTAAGTTGGGGTTTTTGGATGATAGTTAATATTGAGAAATATTTTATTGTGGTTTTATTCTTTCGATGTTTGATGTGAAATCATGATCCTTGTCAGTTGGTAATAATGGCTGATATTATTGTACATTGAAAATAAGACGACTTTATTATAATTTTAAACCAATCTGTATATGCTTCACAGCATGCCGTGCAATATTTATGGTGATTATTATACCAAATAGGAGCATAAATTTAGTGCGCCATATGAATACTAAAATATAGGGATATTTTTAATTTGTCTGCATTAGCACCATGCATTAAAGAGTCATTCAAAGATTATCTATTTAGTACAAAACTGTTACTACTGTTGAGCAATAACCAGTCACATATTATTTAATTATGCATAGATGTATGAAAGTGTTTTATTGCCTATCAATTAAAGCGTAATTATTCATACTGTGTGAAATTTGTTCATACGGCGACATTTTTTTTCGTTATAACTTGCTACTCCTTAAAAATACCTCAATATAACATATTCTCCTAGATTGGAATTCTATAGCAGAACATAAACCTAATGGTTGTATCTTAGCATTTCGTAGTCCAAATTGAGAGAGTTAAGTTATATTTAAGCTATATAACTAGCTTGCTGGTTTTATTCGGTACAGCGAATCAAAACAAAACAAAACCATGACCACCTGTCAAAAAGTCAACATTCCAAGCGATCCTCCTATTTTCGCTTGTAATCAAGATGTAAGAAATGCTTATTGGATCCACTAAAAGCTTTTTCAATACAAGGTTTAAAGCCGTGATGCCAATACTGGCCATCTCCAAACGGATTTAGTGAAACTGTCGGCGTTGCTTTAAGAAGGGTTCGTGGATCTTTCGGAAGTGTATCGGAAAGCCGCTTGTTCAATATTTTTAAGAGCTCCTTCACCGCACTGTGCCTTATGTAGGGATCGTATAACTGTAGTTCCTCCGGGAGTTTCATATTGTCAATCGTCTCATCTTCATCGTGTTCAGAAGCACTGAAGGGGTTTTCATTTCATATATCTGAATAGATTTGTTTTTTATAATGCCAAAAAATTTCAGAGTATTTTTTGTTGTAGCAGTATATTTCTTATCTGTGAATCTTAGGCCTCTGATAAAGATGATAGTTGTAATGAAGCTTTAATGAAGGTCTAAGACTGCTTCAAGTTTTATATCGGTCATAAAAAGTGTACCATAAAACATAATTGTATGTTTTGTTTTGGTTTTATTCTTCAGTTATAAGTAGTGATGCAGAACCACCTTACAGCTACCGTTAAAACTATGAAGTCTGAGTTTTAATTTAGTAGTCATAAAACAGTTTTATAGACGACTTGACGGCCTGATTTTATGACAAGCACACAAAACCGTAATACAACCACAGGCTGGAAGGGATGCTATGATAAAACAATGATAAAATAAGAATAAATCTTCCAAGCATTTAGATTGTTACTTGGGCATGGCAGATGTTTTCGAAACAGACTTGTTCCGTCTGAGAATGTTTGTCACTCGAGTCAGCTAGTGGACGGTCGACCTTTCCAAAAACCAAGCTGTTCCTCGAGTAAGATGTTGTTTTGTTCGGCAGATGTTAGCAGCCGATGGTAGACTGCTCTTTCGAACAGTTTTAATAATCCTGAGAGAAGGCTGATTGGTCGATAGCTTGAAGGAGAGGACGGATCCTTCCCAGGTTTCCGGATGGGTATGACTTTAGCTGACTTCCAACACGAGAGGAAGTAGCCAAGTCTGAGGCACTGATTAAAAATCAGTGCCAGATGGTTGTAGAATCTGGAACTCAAGTGTTTGAGTTCCAGATTCAGGATGTTGTCGAAACCTGGGGCTTACATGTTTTTAGATGGTTTTATAAAGGCCAACAGTTCGTCAGCCGTAATCTCGGATTCCTATGGAAAAATGTTAGGAATCTGATGAAGATTGGTTGCATTTTCAGCAACCTCAGATTCATGAGGGCTGACGATGTTTTGTCCGAGATTATGGGAGCTGACGAAGTATTGTCCCATCGCGGCAGCCTTCTCTTAAGGGGTTATCAGATGAACCATAACTTCCATGGATTAAATGTCAATGGAATAAATTTCTTGGAATAGTTGCTGCTGCTTCGTATTTCAAGCTTATCGCTTATCGCATATTAGCTTATTGTGTACTCTCAACTTAGTGTTTTGATGCACTTTCACAGTTATTAATTGAGAGCTTTCGATGCCTATACCATTTTTGCATAGGTATAATTGTGTGGCAAGTACAATCAAACTCTATGCCCAGGGAAGTCGAGAAATTTTCCAATCCGAGAATTTTTGAGACCGGACCGGGAATCGAACCCAGCCACCTCCAGCATGGTCTTGCTCTGTAGCTGTACCTTTACCGACTGAGCTAAGGTAGTTGCTGAGAAACTGTTTGAATTCAACCCTTTGACGTTTTCTCCACTGTTTCAAGCATCTGCTGTCATTACAGTACCCATTAAAGACTCATTTTGTCTCATTAAATTGTCATCGCCAGTCAGAGTAGACTACGACGGCATCCAAATGGGTCTTTTCACTTTCTGGTACATCCACATGGATGGATCCTGCCCTTGCAAAAAATGAACCTAATCCCCCTGACGGTCGCCTTCATGTCATTTTCCGTTTTCCACATTCACATTGAGTATAAAATCCGACGTCGGGCGCCACAAAGTACTAATGTATGTACATCACATTTGCTCCTCTCATCGGCAGATACAAATCGATAATCATATTTTCCGCCTGCGTTGGGATCGTGATATGGTCATTGCTGCTGTGGACTACCTCACTGGCCGCACTGCAGGTTAGTAGTTGGTACTCTTTGTATGTATGTCCTTGTTTTACCACCCTCTAGCAAACAAGTGGCTGACAGCAATTACGATAGTGAGGAGAGAGAGGATAAAAAATCACCAGCATTCAATAGCTTGCCCTTTCTATCGATAGTCAGTGCAACCGTTCATTCGTGCGATGATTTGTCGATTGAAGGATAGTTTGTCGTTTTCCTTTTCCGGTAATTATTATGAGTTGATTGCGCGCTCGTTTAACGATTCAGTTTATAGGGGGCAGAACATATTTTGAAAAGGGGAAAATTGCATCAATAGAATCACAGCGAAAACGATTGCGTCGATTGTGATCACCAGGATCACAATAAAATCACGCCAAGTGGTTAAATACAAAACCAGTCAGTGCTGCAATCAAAATGTTGTAAATAATAGAAGATAATCGACATCCACAAACACGCATTAGTGCAATCCCACAAATGAATTTGCAGTTTATAGAGTTCGCTCAATTTTCGTTCCATTACATTCACATTCATTGCCAAGAATCCTCCCGAGTGCATGTTTGTGCCCCTTAGCACATAAACCATCGTCGAGTCGAGTTGGTCATAGTACATAAAACACGCTTCTTTACGACCATTGCATTGCTACAGTGCGATTCGGTAGAAATTGTCCGGGGACAGACTAACCACTCGAGTAAACACTCTTTGGCTGTAGAGAGCGAGCGCATCCCAATGGCAAATAGTTGAGCATCCTGAAGTTACTACCGCGTTACTCGATGTGATGGCATTGCTTTTCTTTTCTCCCCCACCTTGGTGCCTATGTGGAATTTTTACCGGAAGGAAATGGTCTTCTTTCATCGCGTCTTCTCCATTCGGCGTTCGGATGTGTCCTAGAACTTTAAGGCCAGCGTGGATAACAAAAACGACCGAATGAAATACCGTTATTTACTGATTGCCTTTAGGGCCGTTTCCAGGCTTCGTGTCGAGATAAGACACAGAGCGATTGCATCGTTGGCAAATTCTAGTCACGAATTGCTCATCATCTGCGGATGAGCGTCTCACTTGGAATTCAATTTTGTGGCCACAGCATCATGATGTGTACCTAGAATAAAGTAATCATACTTGGAACGATGGTTCCAAAGGAACGCTTCTATTTATGATGTTAGTCCATCAAGCCAAATTTATCGTAAAATTCTCATAGTACTTGGAGTATGTACACATGTACATGAGCCCAATTCCATCCCACGTTAACCCCATCGGGTTTATGTTTTCTTCATCCCAATCGTACATCACTCGCTGAAATCCATGTTCAAGGTTCTTTTAAACATAAATTGTTTCTGCTCTTCTTCATTCCCCGCACCGACAACAATGCACACAACAGGTGGTTCAGGTCCTTTACGGAATGTACATGGCAGCCGAAGTGGCGTATTACACATACATCTATGCGAAAATTAGTCGAGATAAGTATCAACAAGTGACGGGCAACACCCGAGCGGCCATCCTGAGCGGACGGTTTCTGGCAAGCGTCCTAGGTCAGGCCCTGGTATCCACCGGTGCCATGGATCTACGGGAGCTGAACTATATCACGCTGGGCGGTAAGTGAGATTAATGGCGCGAGGATTTCGGAGGTTTAATGAAAGTGGTATGTTGCGAGTGGTGTTGGTCTCGTGTAGGTACGTGTGCTTTGGTTAGCCGCAGCTGCTCCTTGATGCAGGGGGTGAACTGGGATCCATCCATTTGGCTTTTCCATTTCTGTTTCCATTCAGTAGATGAGGCAAATGGAACATGAGTATTTAGGGAAACGCACGGTTTCGCACGTGAGGAATTATTCATAAAGGGTAATGACACGCTTTCCAAGGCACGTTTGTTACGAGTTTATCTGAATTTTGTTAAAAGCATTAAATCTAAAATTTTGAGTTAAATACTTTTGTGGAGTGAAACATTTAGACAAAACAAATTTCTCTTGTTTTGTCTTTTGCATATGTTTCATACAACAAATGTCTTGGCAGTTCTAGCAATGGACTGCATCTTACTAGTTAGTTTTTTTCAGAATGCATATTTTTGTTTAAAACGTTTACGAGATGATTTTTTAGACGAAAAAAAAATTTTTGCCCGAAAAATAAACTTACCCATATTGATTACTTATTTTGTTTATTAATAACGAAATTACTGATATCAAAATGCAAACATGGAGTTGTTATGAAGAAAACATGATTTGTTATCTTTTTGATATCCTTCATATACCATTTAGATCTCATTTTGTTATGATTACTGTTAACTCGACCACTCGGTAGGCAAAATATGTTATCACGAACGCTTATATCAAAATATCAAATTTAGTTTTCAATTTGTTTTCATTCTCTGCTCGGGTATTCAATTCAAAAGCTTGAATTAAGAAAAATGTTTGTTCCTCGTAAATTTGCACTCTACATTACTCATTGTGCGGATTAATTTCACACAAAGAAGATGGTAAATGAGTGCGAAAATCAATTGGCAGTAACAAACTCTCAATGCGTTGTATGTTCGTTCTGCATAGCTTTTCAGTCCTATACGAATTTGAATGCTAATCAAACCATATAAATGGTTCAGCATCGCCTGAACTTTATAATGGAATCGTCATCAAGGGGGAGATTTTTCCTAAATCCATTCTTTATTTGACCAGCTAAACCGAACTGATTCCAGGCAATGTATAATAGGGTGGGTCACCGTTATATGGAGAAAAAAACATACTTGACCTTATCAAGCGAGAACAACCTTTTTTTGGTTCAATTTGAGGTGGCAAACAACTGTGCAAAATTTGGAGACGATTGGTTATAACATGGCTTTCCGCATTGCGTTTGAAATTAGTATGGAAATTAGTATGGGAAAATCTAGTGTTTTGCTTTTGCATCCATAGGGACCACACTTTAGCTTGAACCATGCAACTAATCATGTTTAAATAAAGTCCAGGAAGTACCTAACAATTTTGATGAAGTACGGTGCTAGAATGTATCTAAAGAAAGTTATAGTCGTTCAAATATTTATGGTTTGAATTAAATACCAAAAATCACTTTTCCTGCCAACACTGCCGGTTAGATAATAATTTCGGAGTATACCTTCTCATCGACTTTGTATGTTCAGATGAATTATTGAATTATTAAAAAACAATCGATCTATCTCATATGCAAAGTTGGAGAGGGGGGGGGGCTTAGGAACCCCCCTCCCCCGCTTCCTTCACTCATATAAATCGAAGTAAAGATGCAAACTGATATAACGTCGGAATTTCGTATCTTATTAATTTGATATGTTCAGAAGCATTATTCAAAAATAATTGTTAAGCATAGTTTGGGAGAGGGGGGAGGAACTTTTATCCCCGCTCCTTTGACTCATATCAATGGAAGTAGAGCTTCAAACTGAAATAAATTCGGTGTCATCGTGTCGAGTTGGTATGATCAGATGTGTTCTTCAAAAATATTTGCTTAATCTAATTGGGTTCTTTAATTTTTAAAAATGTATCGGTTTTTCAACATCATCTGAAAGAGCTGCGTTTTCTGAGTACAGCGATATTTTTTTCGAAAACATACATTTTCATCTCGATTTTTAAATCAATATATAAAGCAAAATAATAACTTCACTGTTTGACACTAAACTAACAGACTGACAGCTCGCTCCCATGCAAAGTTCCACCGAGTGGCCCTAAGGTGGTAATTTTTGCAAATGCAATCGTACTTATTTAAAATAGTTCCTGTGTACCAAAATTGATGAAATTTTTGATTTGGGTTCTATTTTTAATGCAGATTACGAATATGCATTTACCTCAATACCCTTAAAGAACCCAATTGGTGAAAAGGGGGGGGGGGGACTTACTGTATCCCCTCTAACCCTCCCTTCATAAATTCGTTTCGTTACTTCAAACATCTTTCACTATTCCAGTTCCTGTTTCGCTGCAAATCTTTTTACAAATAATGTTTAAACCTATTCCAATTTACTTGCATTGAACTTAATTACTTTGCCATCCTTGAACAAACTTTTTTATTTTCCGAGTGACATAACTTTTAGCTTTGAACTTATACCCTGGTAATTTAATATATAACAAGCTGTCGGTCACCCTTGAAATACACTGACCTATAGTCCTTCACAGACGCAATCACGATTTGATAAAATCGGTTTCATTGGTTCAATATATTGGTTCAATATAACATTGATAATTTTTTAAAGTATATTCTAAATATTTTTTGCAGCAATGAATATTTTTCAAATTTTATATTTTTAAAACAAGTACTGAGGATTCTAGAGTTACTTCGTTAGTAATTTGTTTAACGGAAATTGAAGCATTTGCACTATTTTTTTTAGCTTTGTGACCAGACATCAGTATTTTGATTTGGCGTTACTTTGATAATGCTCGATGAATGAAACTTAAACAGTTTAGTTCTTTAAATATGAAACTTTGAATGAGTATATAATCAGAAAACATCATAGGCAATAAGATAACAACAATGAATTTGTGATGACTATATCGGAAATACATTTCATAAGTGATGGTTTGAGTGCTTTTTCAAACAGTCGAAAAATACGAAAATTGTTTCTTAATATGTTTGTAAAATATGTAAGACATACTATATAAAAACTATATACGATATTAACAGAAATACCCTAAGCTACAATGTGGAACCAATATTTCTAATTTAGAAAAAGCGCAGCGAATAAATTTAATCTTTATATTATACTATCAAAGTTACCCGCATTATCAAAGATACCCCGTTTTACGGTACATCAAAATCAGATCGCAAAAACTTCAAATTGACTCTCTTTTTCTTATCCATTTTGAAAACTAATTTTTTACGGAGCAGATAATTGTCGCTCTTTGGGCTAAGCCCATAGCCTACTTAGGCTATGTTCCTTTTGGCAAGTCGAAAATGAATTATAATGTCGAAAATCGTTCTGTTGTTGAGCATCCGATTTTCAAGGAGGTGTTTGTCAAAATTGATTCCCGGTCTGTCAGAAATAAGTCTGGTAAAATAGCAGATTTATTTAGGTTCCACCTGTTAAACTTAAATGAAAATTAACCAAATGGAAGACCGCCTTAGTAAAAGACTTTTGTTAGTTTGGCTGAGCTGACAAAGCATAAAATTTGTTGAGGAATACACCGATTGTTTATTATAGAAACTATCCAAATTGTTCATCGATGATCCCTTCGAAAAGGAATCAGCACTGTCAGAAATGAAGTTTTTTTTGTTGCGAAGAGTTGAACCAATGGACGCAGTAGTTCAACTCCCCCAATAAAAAAAAATTAAGTATGACTTTGATTAAGGTGGGCTACAGTCCAACTAAAACGTAGCCCACTTATCTTGCCCAAAGAGAAAAATTCGACTGTACCTACTATAGGGAGCTGCACCGTCAGGATAACCTCACCTCTGGAGGTGGTTTGTTTACGTGGATTAAAAAAAATCTAAAATCTAAAATAAAAAATCTAAAACAACAAGATTTTTTTAAAGAACATAGTGGGATAGGATATCTTTGAGAAATTCTTTAGCCAAAAGCTTAAATTAACTTGAATAAAAGGTAAACAAACCATCACTGGATGTCAAATTGATTAATGTGGGTTCATCACGTTCCTTCGTGACGTCAGCGTGCAGTAACCTATGTATCTGAGACGAAAATTGTTCTTTGTTAATGTATAATATAGCAGTTGAAGAAAATGCTCTTCCCTTCTTAACTACGCGACTACGCAAATGTTTTTCAGTAACCCATCCGAACATTATAACTCGAGAAGATGGGAAAAGCCGAAGTTATTTCAGTCTGTAACTAGACTTTCTTTTTTTTTTTACTCTTTATTTGTTACATTTTAACCTAAGTGCTCCAGTTACTACAGTAAATTACCAGCTTTAATTGTTATGATATATATCTATGTTTTTTTTACATTGTTCCTGCTTTGGCAATTCAGTTTTTTAAACAGGTTTTTTAAACCTGCATGTCAGTATAACAATTGAAATCTTAATATTAAAAACTAAAGCTAAATATTATCTAGGTATAAAGGGAATTAATCGTTGCAATTGAGGATTGCACCGATTTTTGCCTGAAATTATTAATTATTTTGTTGGATATTTGTTCTAAAGTCTCAACATTCGAAATTCTATGTACTTTGGTATTTCTGTACCAGGGATGCAACATCAAAATCATCTTCAGAACTTTGTTCTAAATTTTTGAAGCGCTTTTTTCCTGGTAGTACAACAACTAGACCATATTGGCACAGCGTAAAGCATGGCCGGTCTAAAAACTTGTTTAAATATTAGAAGTTTATTCGTCAGGCAAAGTTTGGATTTCCTGTTTATAAGAGGATACAAACATTTTATATATTTGTTACATTTGGCTTGAATGCCCTCAATGTGATCTTTAAAAGTTAATTTTTGGTCAAGTATTAATCCAAGATATTTCACTTGGTTTGACCAGGAAATTGGAACTCCGTTCATAGTGACTATGTGACTACTACTAGGTTTCAAAAAGGAAGCTCTAGGCTTATGTGGAAATATTATAAGTTGAGTTGGGAGAAATCTTCCATTTTTGTAAATAAGAAGAGAAAATATCTAAACTTTTCTGCAGTCTGCTGCAAATAACA